ATTTGAGAGAAATATGCCCCTGTCATCCAGGAGTTTTACACAGAGTCCTGAATATTCAATTCACAGTGGTGAGCGAGGAGAATAAACTGACTGTCCATAATAAGACGTAGAGCATCTGTGCCTCAGTGTTATTGTTCTGATGCTGGAGGACTTTTGATAAAAGAAATTCAACGGCAAGTTTTGGAGCATTGATTCTCAATCATCTTACACCACATAACATCCTGAAAATATTTGTCTCTGACAGGACCAGCCTGACCTACACCACTTAGCCAGTGGTTCCCAAAGTGAGGCTGACCTTCCAAGAAAGCACACATTTTATTTTCAACATTTTTCTCAATAAGGATTACAATGGAATTGTAATTACTATTTTAAATAATGTTCACTGGAGATTTGCAGTAAGATAAGATTTTATTCATCCCACACTGGGGAAATTCTGTAGTAGCTTAGATATGTCAACATCTTTCCTGAAAGGTTTGGGAGACACTGAGAACACAGAAAATCAAGATGAAAGTTCACGATACGATTATTAAACGATTTATGAGCCAAAACCACGCTGTACATCCACGTGAAACTATATTACGTCTGCATTTAACAACAGCGATATATGTAATCCCATGCACCACTAGAGGGAGCCTGAGTACCACCAGTGGTATGTGTTTGATCGTTTGAGAACCTTTGAATTAAAAGTATGACTTCTTTTTTTAAAAATAAACTTTGTTTAACTTAGGAATCCAGTGTTCATAGATATTAAAGAGACGATGAACAGATGCAAAAATCTATATTCTTTATTTCATTTGCCTTCACATGAAATAAAGACCTTCACAACAAAATTACTCACATTGGTTGTGCAACAAGTCGAATAGTGGAGAAGCAGAATAATATATATATATACACATACAGAATATTTATATACAATAAATACAGTATATTTCCCCATCCCTATATAAATTATAAACATGGTTTTCAATGCATAATGAATAAATAAGATGATTAAAAAAACACAATAGCATGATTTTGCCACTGGAAGAAAGAAGTACATTGGAATTAAACTGATAAAAGAGGAAAGTATTTGTCCTGAAGTGAGGCTCTGAAAAGTCAATTTACTATTGACCAGAAAACGACTCAGGCTTAAGCAGTTCTACAGACTTGAATAGAAAAATTAAGTTACCTCTGAATGAACCTGTAACAGAATTAATATATTTCCCTGCAGGAGGTTATGGTCCAGTTGAGAGTTCCCAGAGTTTTTTTTTAGAATCATCATTTTAAAGTAAGATTCTCTTTGAGGATTCTGTAGGACTCTCAAACCCCTGGCCCGCGAGCCACTTGCAAAGTCAAATTCCCCTCCAACTCATTTGACTTTGAGACCCCTGATTTAGGCTTAAGACATGTTTCATTTTGATACTGTGTTAAAGGATTATTCCGGGTGTTAACATGTACATTCAGTGGATGCTTCATCTCTGTAATGATCTTTTTACTGTATTATTCTTGGTTTTTTGAGAAGAGCAATTTCATGCAACATAAGAGAAAGCTTCATTACTCTCCTCCATGTCCCTCAGCCTTACCTAACCACATCACAGCTCTCAGCTCTCAGCTCTGTCGCCACCAGTCCAAAGAAATCTTCAAAGAAAATTCCTTTTCACGCTCTCCTTAAAAATCAGATAGCGACAGATGACCTTAACTAACAGTTTGAATCAAGTAGAAAAAAAGAAACAAAGTTGAATCTTTGATCGTGCGGATGAGGAAAATCCTGAAATAGGCAGGGTGATGATGTAACCACAGAAATATGAAAGTGCATTTTCCATGACTCTGTAGTCAGTAGAGAGAGGAATCAAGTCAATTACCTCTGAGTGACTCATGTTTGATCCAGCAGTTCCCCAAAGATCTGTCTGGCTCCAGTGTCCTGAAGTGGCTTCCTGAGACTTCAGTGCTTCATTATCAGTCACAGCCAGTGTGGGGTTGTATTGAAGCAGCTTTTCTCTCAGTGGCCAATACGACTGCACAGCTTTGAAGTGTTGGGTACTTTAAGAACTAAAAGGTTTACTTGAAGCATGGAGTCTGGAGGTTTTAAAAGCAGGGCCACAATCTTAAACCCATCACCGGGTCACTTGCCTTGTGGGTTGTGTTAGTGCAGCTCTTCATCTTGGACCACAGGTGGCTGAGGTCAACAGATCATCTGTGTTGGCCCCCGACAGCCCTGTGTGGTTACGTCACTGTTCAACTGTTGCATTTTATGATCATATTTTGACCAGATTATGTTTTCAGCCAGAAATATCAGAAATATGGCATTTGTTCTCTAACATCCTTATTATTTAATCATTTTTTTCAGTGTACAGCTGAATATTGTAGCATGTCAGGGTTTTCATATACTCTTTAAGGTAATTTTTCTCTGCCTTTCTTTTGCCTCACAGCTGTTTTTTTCTTTGAAGCAGTAAAAGGAAAAATCATTTTTGTCAGTGTTGCAATGCCAACAGCAAAATCCAGCCTTGCAAAATCGCAAATGTCAGAAATGATCTACCTGACACTTAAAAAAAGGACAATAGAAGTGTCTTATTTTCCTCTGTAGTGCAGTTTCAAGTCAACTTATATAAAATATGATGAAACACTCGGTGCTTTAGTCAACACCTCAGGGTGTTTCATTGCTCCTGGCGTTAAGGCTGAACAAAAAGGTGAGAATTCTTTTCATGATTCAAAAAAATAAAAAATGTTTGCCCTAAGATGCACCAGGCCCTTTTTGTGTATTCTGGAGCCTGACGTTGAACAGCTCAACTGGCTGAGCTGAAATCATCTGCACCGCGAAGGGACAGTTAATCTTAAAGAAAATGCTGCCACGGTGTCTTTAAACGCAGCATTTAGCAGGCGACAGTTCCTTCAGAGTGTTCACCGTCACAGGGAAGTTTTTTTATGGACCCATAAATGCTGCCTCTAAGTTAGTACATGCCTAAAGAACCGTTTTATGGTGCTGTATAGACCCTACGTGTGTGTGTATCTGTGTGTGTGTGTGCGTGTTATGGTCTGTTAAACACTGTAACTCCTCATTTAATACCACCATTTAAACTGTAGGTTCAGCTTTTCACAGCAGAGGGCAGTTACGTTAAAATCTTAATGGTCCATTAATATGTTTTCTCTTCTCCCAGCACGTTAACAAGGAAAATATTCTCGTTTTTATGGCTGTGTTGAATTTGTATTACGCAAAGAACAGATTCATTAACGTTGTTTTAGCAAACATTTTATTCCTGAGCAGGCGTATTCCTGAGCTTTATTGATGGGTCTTGTCTTTGGTTCTTGCATGTGCAAGTAATCAACATTAAATGTTAATTAAATTACAATTTTCTTTGTTTTATTACCTCAAAAGAATCATTGTGTCTTGGTTCAGTGGGTTAATACAGGGCTGTATGGATATTAAATTTTTGTTGAGAAAAATGTATAGTAGCCTGGAGCAGGATTGTGTGTCTGCCCGTAGGTAAAGGTAAAGAACATATTTTTATTCTTAATTCCAGTCTTTCTCTACTACTGTAGTACTGTATTTAAATTATTTAATTTTATATTATCGAACAGTGGACAAAATACTGAGCCCTGTGAGTTCGACAGGTGCTACAGCATTTTGACACATTTGCATGTCGGCCAGCAGGGGGCAACAGTACTTCTTCTTCGAATTGTATCTGTATACACATTTATAATGGCATAGGTTCTTTTATGCTATTCCTCATTGTTCTTATCTTATATCTTTTGAATTTGAGTTCTAATAAAATAATTGGTGGATGATTTTAACCACAAGTAATAATCGGCTGACATACTGGAATTTGAGTTCTAATAAAATAATTGGTTTTTATTAGGATGATTTTAACCACAAGTAATAATCGAGTCCTTTGGGCTAAATATTTAAATGATCCTCAGTGTATCAGTGTCTGTGTAATCAATTTGCAATAAATGTTGAAAATAACTTCACTGATATATATAAAAGCTGCTGTCTCAATATCTGCTACTTGACAAATCTAATATATATTTGTTTTGTTTTGGGCTTTTGAGCCAAGAAAGAATTTCTGAAGATTTTTCTGGTGTCATATTTTAGGAAAAGTCTAAATTTATCCAACATCAAATCCATCACAAACAAACACTCGTGCATTTTCCTCTGAGCAAAAATAGAACCAGATCCATTTTGTTACACATGGCACTGGTTTGTATCCAATTACTTTCAATAAATAATAATTGTTTATGTGTCTGTCTTGTGCTTGTGAGGACCATATTTTTGGGAACACTTTGAAACACTGGCGGTAGAGATATTTTGGGAATGTGAGGCCATTTCGAGTCCTCAGACGAACAGTTGACGGAGGGTCATGGACTGGTTTTGAAGGTTTGTTTTAGGACAGAGTTGGACAGCTCTGCTCTGAGTTTCTTTGACCCTGAGGAAGGATGAGGTTTGGAGAATTACGGCATGCACTATGAATTGATGGAATAACGCTTTTTTATCCGTGAGTACTGGAGAAATATCTGCTTTTCCTATGGCAGTATGTGTGTTCCTGATTGAGAAGTTTGTTCGTGTGTACATCAGTCCTTGTGTGGGTTATGTGTGCAGGCATGTGTGTGTGTGTGTTTATGATTCAGTCTGTCTGCAGTACAGGTTTGCAAGGGACAAAACACAGCAGCACACATGTGGT